TCTTTTCATTTCTTAAAGACAAAGAAGGTGTTAGTCTTGCTTCCTAAGCACATAAGGTTACATGACCGCGGGTTGTGTATGTGTGTATGTCTGTGTCTGTTCTCTCCTTCCTCTCCCTGTAACTTGAACGTGTTGGCTACTTCCAGACAAATCTGGGGAAAGGTCATAGGTCTCAATGGTATTAAGTTCCTACAAGTTTTGTGGCAATAGCTAGCTGGAGAGGAATAAAAAGACCCCAACTAGCAGAGAGGGTGCAGAGCTATGAGATAACAGTGTATCTGCATAATGGACATTCCTTATAAATTCTGATCTCTGATTATGGTAAATACCGTCCAATTTATGATTATGATTTATCATTTACCGTATGAATTGCACAAAAAGAGAGGAAATCAGTTCTTGTACTCATAGGAGTATTTCATTCTATAGTCAAAACTCTATTGTAGCAGATTGTGTTCAGTCTGATGGAGAGTTTGGCACTTCAGCATGTCACACAGTGAAGATGTCCTGACAAGGAGGAATAGAAAATCTTCAAAAAAGTACCCAGAATTGGCATTTGGTGAAAGCTTTGGGGTTTTTCCTTCAATAACTATAAATATAGGCAGAAGCCATGTAGAGCCTGTCAAGTTTACAGATTAAATCAGGTTCAGTGAAGCTGGGATTTTGGGGAAAGAACTTCCTGCCATTTTACATATGTAGCTTGTTTGGTTGGATAAGGGATTAAATCTAACTATATCTTTCTTTTGAGTGTGAAGAATAATAAAGCAAGATTTTATATTATTTAATTAAAATTGAAATACCTTTCAAAGGATGTTGAAAATAGTACATTGATTTTCAGCTCTTACTATAGGTCATAAGATAAAGTAAAATATGTTAAATTGTTTTAATTATGTGTGACAAAATATTTTGATTGGTTTTAGAGTTCAGAGTTGACAACAAAATTATGGGCTTAAAGGAAAAAAAAAGTATGTAATTTTAATATTTTGAGGTGCATTTATTCTTCCCAACTGGAACAGTCCAGGCTTCTGAACTTCAGGAAGTTTGAAACTTGCTTTCTAAGAAGCATACTGGATTCTTCTATGTTGTTCCTGATAGCTAACAGATAAGATTTGCTGTGCCAAATTATGTTCTTTTGGGTGTAGACTGCTGGAATTCAGCAAGCAGTATTCTTGACAAGGCACTAGAAGGAACTGAAGTCTCTCACAATTGTTTGTTGAACAGAGTAAGTTTCTGTAAGTAAAGTAAAAGTAGGGATAAGTAAAAACTGTTGAATATCTGTGAATGTTAAGACCAGCTCACACTGGATATTTTATACTAAATTGCTTTAATCAGTAATACTGATAAGAAAGGGTAAGCTGTTCCTTAACCTTAAACATCATGTCCCTCGGGTGCTTCGGGCATGTTGCTTTACCGCATTACAAATCTAAACCGCAGTGTCTGCTCTGAAAGGCAGGACCTCAAGTCCTGGACAGATAGAAACTTGCATTTAAACAGTGGTATAATCCTTTGTGACTTCTGTTTCTCTAATAGATATTTGTTAGAGAAAAAGATACATGAGACTGAGACCAGATACTGGTCCTAAAACATAGCTGAGCTTATACTTTGAACTTCACTAACACTGGTCTTGTTGCCAAGAATAATTTCTCTCTACTGCATGTCTCCTGTTGCTTTTTCTAATTCTGTGGTTTTAAACTGGAATTTTACGACTTAATATCTTGTTCTCTAATGCTGTTGGGCCAGAACGTTGTTCTTTAACTGGAACCACATTGCTTTAAGTGGATTACCTAGTTACCAGAATGAGATGGTTTTATATAAGCCTGCAAGGCACCTTATGTCATTCAAAAATGATGGATAGAATATGACAAAAAATGCATAGAGCCCCATTAAAAAAACCAAAACCCAACTTGCTAGTTAATCTTTATAGGCTGGATCTTAGCAAAAGAAATGTGAAGCTCTTGTTCTTGTTTCAAGTTAAAATTACTTACTGAGGTAAGGTTTGCAGAGGAAGAAAATGTCTTTACTAGATCAGCACATAATTTTGAAAATAATTGGCAAGCTTTTGGGTAGCGAGCTTTCAAGGTGTTACAGTAATTGTAACAATTGTGTGTGATAACATTAATGATGTGATCTTTATAATAACATTATTTGATTCAAAGAGCTCAGCACCTGTGTAGTCAACCACATGTTTAAGTAACTTTCTTGTATTTGAACGAATGAACTTTTTTTACAAGGGACCCAGAAGATGGTCAAGTGATGGAAGAAATGTAGGGATACCACTGGAGTGCATTTTAGATGGTTAGTGCATTGATAGCATTGCAGGTATCAAGGCCCACGTGAGGGCAATCTGGGGGTCAAATGACTGGTACTTGATGAAGGCTGGAAGGAAAATGCAATTTACCATGAGCAAAGGTTTCAAGGTCAGACCATAAATGTAGCAGTTAGGAAAAGGAAAGAATTTCTGCTTTGATTGTACTTAAATGAAGATTGGCTTATGTCCAGGAGGAACTACACCTAAGAAGGTCTTTGAGATATGGAAAAGAAAGTTTTCACTGAAAAAAATGTGAGCAGAAAAAATGCAGTCCAGCACGAAAATAAATAAATGGTAGAGCATTCAGCACAAAGCTCATTGTAATGATGGTGAGGACAATTTTAGGGACCCTCTAAAGCATCAAACCGTAAGTACTAAGTAGAAAAAGAAGTATAGTGCAGAGTCAGAAAAACTATGTAAACTGAGTTGATAAAGATGATCCAAAGGTCCAAAACTAGCTGATAAGTCAAGAAGGACAGAAAAAGAAGCGAGACCTTTGGATTTAGCCACAAGCCAATCATTAATTTTTTTAGAAGGTCAATGTGAGTAGAGTGACCTTAGCAAAATCAACTGAATCCAATAACAAGCATTTGAGCAGAACTAGCATAAACCTAGGGGTTTTTTTAATTAAATAGATGACAAAAATTGGTAACTAGGAATTAAGTAGCATCGAGAAAATTCCTTTTTGAAACTAAAAAGAATATCCTTGTATTCTTTTCGATACAAGGATAGTGTTTGAGGTGATTGTGTTACAAGTTAGTCCTAACAAGCTAAGATGAGTGAGTTACGAAGAAGTTCTGCAGTCATAAGGAACAGGGCAAAGCATGCTTGATATCATACCAACTAAAATAATTAACTTTGCTCTGAGAAGTGTGTAATTCATGGAGAACTCGCACTCTCTTGTTTCTTTTGGGAAGGTGTAGTGTTTACCTGTGCCAAAAGGGCAAACTGCTGAATGATTAATTACCCAGTAGAATAAAACTTGCTTACTTGTGTATCTAGGGCGTTGTTAAACTGACGCTGATCTGCCATATTCTAAGATAATCACTTATGTTTTAATATACATTAATATTAGTGATGTTTACCTTTTTCCTGCTATAGACACGTCTGCTGAATTTACTAGCACTACCCGTGATCTTACATATAAACATAATGTTAAATGCCACGTCTGTTCACAGCTGTGCCCCGCTGTACTAGCTCTGGGTAACGAAGCATAGCCCGAAGGAGTACTGAGCAGGGCTGAAGAAATGCTGGGTGCTGCATGGGTGATAAAGGCAGAACCAAAAATCATAAGGTTGAGAGAGACATTCAGAGGTTTACAACTTTAAACAAAGTGACTCAGGCAAAGCTAATTTTTGCTATACCTGCTTTTTGCTTTTGTAAGACAAGATCAAATGATTTAAAAGTGAAGTTGTATGCAAAATTGAGAGAATGCAGAATAACGTATCAGGCTAAGGGGGATACATTAAGTGCGAGTAGGGCTGGTAGCAAACGCATTTCTCATTGTAGAATGCAGTCCTGTTGTGGTAGAAGTTATTTTTGAAGATACTTCTGTTGATTTTATCATGGAGAGATTTTGCAGGGGAAAATAAGTATAGGTCTACTAGGAGCTAACTGGTTTAGGTTTTCATTTTAACGTGACTTTTCATCATATCACAATATGCATTTTGAGAAGCCAGAATTTGAAATTAAGTGTTTGGGAAATTCTTGAAATGCCCCTTCAGTAATTGAAGAATTAAAGTATTTTTAGGTGAATCACAAAATCTTTAGGCTGTAGTCTAAAAATCTGAATTCTAAAGACAGGAATTATTGACATTTTTGGCAAAATTGAATTTCTTTTGCCTAGTGCAGGTTTAATGAAGAACACGTGTATTTGATAACTAAAATTAACTGAATGGTGCACTGCGGTAGACTTTTTTAGAGGAGAATTTTAAACCCGACTGGAAATCTTCGAAGTCACATTGCTGCCAAAGAGCCACCCGTGGAAACGAAATCCAGGTGCGTTGAAAGAAGCCGTCGGGCAGCTTCGGAGATTGCCTCACCGCGCTGGGCCGCGCCTCCCGGGGCCCGGCTCGGGGGCCC